ATAAAAAGGTTTGGTCATTTCCTGCGTCACCATTACTGTGTATAGTTTGTATATATAGTCGTTTATGTTACATTAAAGTCCAGTATCAATAAACACAAACTTACAGCACCATTAAAAGGTTGTATAACAGTTCGTTCTGGTTCCAGTTCATACATGTGTACATACAATACAGTGTGTGCTCTGTTTACAGGGGGGGGTCTTGAGGGGATGGAGACCTTGGTGGATACTGGTCACATAGTGAACTTTGCTTTCCTTCCTGCTCCTCCCGTTTCCACAGGAACATTTGTCTCCAGACCCGCCCTCGGCCCCGGCCTGTCCCCTCCGCAACAATGAACTCCTCTTCGCCACACGGTTCCCGCGCCTCCATCGACATCCTGGAGGAACTTCAGCTGATTGCGGCGCAGAACCTGGAAAAACTGGACATCAACAAATACTATGAGGTTGTCTGTGAACTGGGGAAGGGCACCTACGGGAAGGTGGACCTGGTCATCCACAAAATCAGAGGTAACTACAGTGGGTCTGCGTTGGACGGCGTTGTAGTAAAAAGCAATATCTGGTGTTTCAAGAGTAATTTAACACCCCGTTTTAAGCTCCTGCTGAACCGATGTGTTTCAGACTGGCTCAGATCTGCTGGTCGCCCAGAATTCGTAGAACCACAGGGACATAATTATATAACTCTCACTTTAATGTTCTGACCAGTAATGGTTCGTTTTTTGCTGTCTGAAATTAAAAGCAGTGACTTCAATCCCTTTAAACTCTTCATCTTCACTGATAGTGGTTCAGAGCCTTTTTTAAACTGCTTGCTTAGCCTAGCGACGACGCAGCAGGTGGTATTGGTTGAATGTGGCGTCGCCTCTTAGTTTTGGTTTCCCTGTCGGATTGTTTTGGGGTCAAATGGGACAGAATTACTGAGTTTTCTCTGTCAAAAGGGAAAAAACTTGTAATGGAGACTGTACGTGTAATTTAACTAAAGAAAGGAGATTTTGCCTCCTCAAAACCAAAAATAAAGAGCATAAGTATAGGGAATAAATTTAACTGTGTTTATCCGCTCTTAAAAAGCTAGAAACATTAACACCCCAGGCTAACTAGCTTACTACAGTAGTAACCCGGCCCATATCATTGCTCACAACTAGCATGTTCACATTGTCAAAGTCTTTCGCTGAGTAGGAATGAGCTAATTGTGTCTAAAATCATTGTTTGAAAAAGATAGCTTAGCAAACTGTTGATTAAATGCCCCAAAAACAATGTGAAATGTCAGGAAACCGCACACAGTTAACGTTCTCCTGCCTGTCTGGTGCTTAATTTCAAAAGGCACTTGAGGTAAAAGAAAAACCAAAAGAGGGAACGGAGTTGTTGTTTTCTTTTGTGTCTCTACGTTGTGATTCAGACTGATAACGGGGTCATTTGTACGTAATAATAGTGCAGCTTTAAAACGCCTCGCTGTGGCGTCCACTCAGAGAATCAGAAACATGTAATGGTTGCACAGGTAGAGCGCTCTCATCCGTCTCTCGAGTGTTTACTTGTGAAAATACATTTTGAAAACCAAATCTGAGGTAATGTAGGCCACCGGCACAGATTTGACTAAATTCACCACTTAACTAATAGAAAATCTGTCCAACCTCTTCACATTAAAAGCCCAAATGTTGACCATCTGCTCCGAGCTCGTTAATAGTCTCTTCCACGGCTGAGGTCTGTCACTGAGATAAATTCTGACCTTTTCCAGCCTGTAAAGAGCTCAGTCGAAGGATGTCGACCATGTGTACCTGGTGGTTTCATTATCTGCTCCTAAATCGTCCTTTCACAACCATCCGAGAACCAGCGTTAGGATTAATCACCTGCCCTCCGATGTATAAATGTCACGTTAACTGCGGAAATAAACGGGGCTGAGTGTGAAGTCATTTCTGACTTATTAGATGTAAATGTGCGCAGATGCATTTCAGACTCTGTTCTTAAAACAGTCTGTTAATATTGAGTTCACCAAACAAACCCAATGTTTGATTTTGTAGATATTTTCCTTCATATTAAAGCTGCACTGAGGCTACAGTAACATTTCATTAAAGTCACATTTAAAGCTCCACTTGGAGAAAATCTAAGCTGCTTCTCTGTTTTTTTGTTTGTATTTTTGTATATTGTGCTCAAGTATTTAATGTAATATATGTCAGTGTGGAAGCTTTGAAGTCTTAATATCTTTTACTTAAATAAAACTACTAATACCACAGTGTAAAAGTAAAGTCCTGCTTTTAAAATGTTACTTGAATGCACTGCAATGAGTTTTTAACTGGTTATCAAACAGTCTCAATGTAATACTGATGCCTCTATATGACCGACATAAACAAACAACCATTATTGAGAATATTGGCTGTTTCATTTTCAGCTGTACTTGTATAAACTGTAGTTTAATCTATAATAAAGCTTCATATTTTATAAGCTCTTCATAGGTTTTTGATACAAACGCCATCCAGTAACTGTAGTAAAAAAATTACAATCCCTCTGCAGTAGGTAAGTAGACTACAAAGAGACAGAAAACGACTACAAAGAGACACAAAACGACTACACAGAGACACAAAACGACTACAAAGAGACACAAAACGACTACAAAGAGACTAAAAGACTACAAAGACACAAAACGACTACAAGCAATGCATTCAGTATCAAGCTCTCGCTTAAGCGAAAATAGTTAAACAAAATTGATAAACATTATCCAGTTTCAACTTCTCTATAAATGGAATATCTTTAGATTTTGTACTTAATAATAATAAATAAATAAATCCTGGTCTCTGGGAAGTTTTTTTCACAATTTCTTGACTTTTCATAAACTTTAAAAAAAGAAATCTGATTAATCAATAGTCTGACTGTTTTTATTACTATAATCAATAGCTGATGTTTGTCAGGTGCCGACAGAAACATTTTTAGTTATCTTTAGTTTTTGCCCTGAAACACAGACAGACTTCCTCTGAACAGATGGTTCAGCGTCAGCATGTAAACGTCTGAATGACTTTAATTTGTAGTAAAATTATTTCTAAATCTGTCTCAGTTGTATTTACTGTTTTTAATCTTTATCTGCTGTGATAGTTTAATATCTTTACAGCATCGAACAGCTAACATCTGGAAACTGCTGAGCCCCGTACGGCAGCTACATTAGCAGTTAGCGACGTCAGAGGGAAAACCAGACAATATTCTCTCCATAAAATATGATCCAGTTTCACCCAAATCACTGATATAAAGCTGTGTGTTTGTACAGTAATCAGTGAGCTGCGCTAGCTAACTAATGAATCTTCGCTCTGTGTCGCTGAAAGTTGAAGATTTATTGACTTTTGGTTGAAATCTGTTAGTTCATGCTTTGATTTTTATATAAAAACACAAATAAATTGAGTTTTTGTGCGTTTTATTGTTAAATAATCCTTAAATAATGTGACAATATAACTGAGAATGTGATCTTAAAGGGTTAAAATGACATTATTGATTTCACCTGGACTCATTGTGCTCAGTTTTTACTGTTTTCTGAGTATTTCTCTTACTTTTAAACAAGTCTAAATTTAAATATCAGTTTATTTGTCAGCATGCTCCTCTTGTATCATCAGCATTAAGAACAAACAAAAACCCTGTCCACCTTTTTTTTCCTGAAGCGTCTGCACTCGGTAGAAAGCACTTTACAGAGCTGACCCGGTGCTATCGGAGAAGTGTTCCCTCTCGTCTTCGCTGACACACTGACTGTCGGTGCAGGCGGACGTGGCAGCTTTCCAGGTTATCGTTAGCGCCCCCCCCTCCCCTCCCTTCATCAGACGACCTGAATGTGTATGTGTGCCTCCTTTACGTTATAATATCAGACTCTTTTCCTCGTCTTCGGCCTCTCTGATCTCACTCCCAGCTCTCTGCGAGGACACGTTGAAGCACACACACACAAACCACCAGGGTTTAACTTAACGTTTTAATTATTCATCACATTTTGAAATTGTTTTTCACGCAATTAGGCGTCCGTGTAATAAATCCTCGCCCCCTAAACACGGTGGAAAAGGAGATTTGAGTTACGTAACCTCGCTTTCTTCGTCCCTCGCAGGCACAAAAATGGCCCTGAAGTTTCTGAGGAAGAAGACGACGAAGCTGAAGAGCTTCCTGAGGGAGTACAGCATCTCGCTCTACCTGTCGCCCTGCCCCTTCATCATCAACATGTACGGCATCGCCTTCGAGACCGACGAGTACTACATCTTCGCCCAGGAGTACGCGCTGGCGGGAGACCTGTTCGACATCATCCCTCCGCAGGTGAGACCGTTACGTAATATAATCTGAGTTTATTGTAACATAATCCAAATATTTATCTCTTAATCTCCCAAATATTGGCAGCAGTTTTTACAGATGTGAGATTACACGTTGGCGTCATGTTGTTGTGTGTGTGTGACATTTAGTCCACTGGGCTTTTATTGTGAAGTGTCACCAGAGCTCTTTTGCCTGCCAGCTGCCTCGGGTGTTATAATGACCTTCTATAGTTTTATTATATTTATTATTTAACGTGTTCCAACACTAACTCGTCTTCCTGTCTCTGCGTTCAGGTGGGACTTCCTGAAACGGTGGCGAAGCGCTGCGTCCACCAGGTCGCCATCGCTCTGGACTACCTGCACTGCAAGAAGCTGGTCCACCGAGACATCAAACCCGAGAACATCCTCATCTTTGACAAAGAGTGCCGGAAGGTCAAGCTGTCGGACTTTGGCATGACGCGGCGCGCCGGCTCTCCGGTGAAGCGTGTGAGCGGCACGATCCCGTACACGGCGCCCGAGCTGTGCGACACCTCGCGACACGAGGGCTTCTGCGTGGACTACAGCACGGACGTGTGGGCGTTCGGCGTGCTGCTCTTCTGCATGCCTGACCGGGAACTTCCCCTGGGAGAAGGCCATGCCCAACGACGCCTTCTATGAGGAGTTTGTCCGCTGGCAGCGCCGCCGGACGGGCACGGTGCCGTCGCAGTGGCGCCGCTTTACTGACGAAGCTCTACGAATGTTTCGCAGGCTCCTCTCCATCGAGCAGGAGCGCCGCTGCTCCGTCAAAGAAGTCTTCAGCTACTTCAACCAGTGCTGGATGTTGGACACGGAGAACGGGAACAACGGCGGCGGCTGCAGCGGCGGCGGCCAGGGGGGATAGCAGCAACGCGCCTCCTCTGGACTCAGCTCGTCCTCGTCCGAAGAGGACGTGTTAGTGGACAGACTGAAGCAGCAGAGCCTGTCGCCTGCGTGCGTGGTGGCGAAGGGGAACATCATGATGGACACCCACTACTCGTCCATGTCTGCCAACAGCTCGCCGTCGTCCACCGGCAGCTACGAGCGAGTCAACAGAGAGAACAATGAGAGAGGGCGCATCCTGGTGGCCACGCCCATCGAGATCTGCGTGTAGAGGCGGCCGACACACACGTGATTAAAAGCTGCTGTGAGCTGAAGAGGAAGAGTTTCTCCGAGTTTCTCCGAGAAGAGGAGAAAAAAGTGCGGCGACTTGGTGCTCGGCATCAGGAATCAACCGTCTGACATCCGTTGTAGCTTCACTGTGGATTTGCTCATTTCTGATGAAGACGAACTCTGAAGGAAATGACCCGAGAGACGTTCACAGACCTCCTGTAATGTGGTTTATTACGGAACCGGACGACCTTTAAATCAATAAAATATTTAGGGGGAATTTAAAAAAAGAATCAATCCACAAGCAATATTCAATCGTTTGGATTAATCAATGCAAAAATAATCTGTGAAGACGTTCTGCTTTCAGTGAGACCGACAGTACTATTGTGTGTTTATTGTCGTGTGTCATTTTACATGTTCGGTAGAAACGTTTCTGTAAAAGTGTATTTTAATTTGGAGTTAAAGTATTTATTTATATTTATATATAATTTGTTTTATCCAGTGACACCCAGAGATCTTTTAAATATTTAATTGTTAGACATCTTTCTTTAAATATTCGCCATCATGTCGTCGTGATCTCCCATAAAAGTAGACGTAGACTGTTTTTATCACCCGAAAATGTCCTTTTCATGTTCGCCTGTGATGCCTAAAACCCACAAATGTACAGTAGCAACCGACAACATGAGCGGCTGAAAACGTTAATTTTAATTAATTTAACCTCCTTCCAACCAGTCGTCTCATTAAACTGCAGTAAAAAACGCTGCTGCAGCCTCGTTGTCTTAAAACTGATCACATATAATCAGGACAAATAAGAGAAAAACGTTCAAAAGTATCACGAATAATCCTAATTTTTCTACTTGCATGGTTAATAGAGAAAATTGACATTTTACCTTTAATTGAGCACTTAATTAGCAACGTTTATTTGGACTTTTCTCAGTAAAAATGAGAAGATCCAGTTAATATTGTTATTATTGAACATGAGGATTTAATTCTTTCAACAGGAGAGATCAAAATTCTGTATTTTGGACGTTTTATTCCATTATTTGCTGTATAAATCAGAAAGTTAAACCCTGACAATGTGAGATAAGATGGACTCGTGTAGAAAACGCAAAAAAAAACAAACAATAAAAAGTCTTTTTGGATTTTGGGGGATTTAAATATTTCTTTTGTGTTTTCCAGAAGTATTGCATGAAGTGATATTACTGTGGTGAATACTTGTTGAAATAAACACCCCGATAATTAAAAGTGGACTCTCTTCTTTCTTTTAACACATTTAAAAAGTTAATTAAATATGCTTGTTCACTTGTTTTTTGCTAAGAATTAAATGAGAAGAGCTGATTTAGAGCCGGTTAGCTTACGTTAAAAACAAGAATTTGGCGTTTTATGAGATTAGCTTGTAGCTATTCCTTCAACCAAGGAACTGCTATTGTTATTTTTACACTGAACTTTCCGTAAGGATTAAACAAAAGAGAGAAAAAGTCTCGTAAATGGTGTTAAATTCTTGTTTTTACGCTGTTTCCAGTCTGCTAAGCGAACGTTAAAGCCTAGTTAGTAGCAGAGTCTCACCAGCAGCAACTGCTTCCGACTAAGAAACTGCTAATTGTTGGGTTTCGTACGAATTATATTAGATTATCAGTTTTAGTATTATATATTAGTTTTATTATTATATTATATAGAATTATATATTGTTAGTTTTCGTAAGGATTAAACAAAAGATATAAAATGTAATAAATTATAGGTTGATAGGTGGATTTTGTTACATTTGCACAGAGCTAGGCTAACTGTTTCGAGTTGGCTAAGCTAACGTTAAAGCCTGCTAGCTGATGGCAGTCGAGATTAAAATCAAAAAATTTGATGTTTACGAGACTATTTCTCCGCTAGTTCAACTACAAACTGCGAATTGTTTCCTTTACACTTAGATTTTCATACGAATTAAACAAAAGAGATCAAATACGTTCAGCATTGTCTGCTAATTCTGCTCCTGACCAAGAAACTGAGTTTTTATTTTTACACTTAAATTTTCGTATGAATTAAACAAAATTGATAAAATTAGTTAATTACTACTTGAGAAGTGCTGATAGGTGGATTTTATTACATTTGCACAGAGCTAGGCTAACTGTTTCGAGTCTGCTAAGCTAACGTTAAAGCCTGCTAGCTGCTGGTTGAAGCTTCAGTAGAGATTAAAATTAAAACCGAAGTGTAAAAACAAGAATTAGCGTTTTTTTACGAGACTATTTCTTAGCTAGTAGACGAAGAAATCGTTGTCTCTACACTTCGGTTTTCATAAGTTTTATTACTTGAGAAGAAACATGTTAATTAATTATTAGCACAAACTGGGGAGCGACTTGCTCGGCTCAGTCCAACGAAAATGATTAACATGATTTTGCTGATTTATGAGATTATTTAGTGTACTAGTTCTACTCCTGACCAAGAACCTGTTAATTTTTATTTTTATTTTAAGTTTCTGTACGAATTAAACCAAAGAGAAACGGCTAGGCTAGCTGTTTCAGGTCTGCTAAGCTAACGTAATGCTGACGTTTAAGCTAGCATAAAACCAATAATATTTAAGTTAATAAAAGCAAAGTAAACATAAAAGTAGTAAAGTGATCAAATATAAACGTATTGTGTTTCAGAGCTTCAGACTGTAGATGAAAACATCGCAGGAAATAACGTTGTCTTCTTCAACTCCTTCCTCTCAGCTCAAACGTTTCATTTCACTTCATCAAACTCATTGACTCTGTTTCCATTTAAAACCTCCTTCAGATGGAGGCTTCCTGTAAGTCGGTCACATAATTCTGCCCCAATAAACTCTCGATGCCCCCGGTGAAGCCGTAAAGCCACTGAGGCGTTTCTGGCGAGTGACCGAGCGTCTGCCTCAGAAACCTCGCTGGAAGCTGAGTTACGTAACGATCCCACCAGGTAGGACTGGATCTGATTTAATGTTCCACATAAAAACAAAAACCTGAACATCTTCACAGCCTGAAGATAAACTGTATTATTATATATATTAATATTATTGTAATTCCCTGTAAAATACTACATTTAAATACAACAGGTGTGACTATAGTGATATAATATAAACACTACAGTGTAACTGTAACTTATAGTATATTATAGGATTAACAGCCAACTCGATATATTTCTATAGTGCATTCCAAAAAAACATAAACAATATTTAAAGTACTATTAATATTGTATATTATTGTTTCTGTAGTTGTTTTTTAACGTACTGTAGTAACACTACAATGATGTTTCAGTAAATATATTATTAATATAGTAACTTACAATGTGTCTGAAAAACCACAGAAAGAGTACAGAACATACTGTAGTTATATAAAAATATAATATAATTCCCTGTAAAACCATATAAATACAACAGTAATGACTTTAGGTATTCTATATAAACACTATAGTGGTGTAAGAGTACTTTAAAACAAACAGTGTCAACATTTATTTCAGTAAATAAATGTAAATGAAAATGTTTAGATTTTTACACATAAACACACAGAATATATTTAGTGTCTGATAAACAGCCTCGTCCTGCATTAGAGCCAACAATGGTCAACCCTCAGGGAGAGGAAAACATTTAATTTGACAAATAAAGATCTAATAAGTATGTTTAAGTGTTACAAAATGTGAAAATATACATAATACAGAATTAAAAACATCAGGAAAACTCATCTCTGACACAATATTCACAGGAAATAATCTCAAAATTCATACAAATCGCTCATTTTAATACAAATAATACAAATAAAACAACATCAGTTATCTGCTGTTATTGTTCTGCTTTCAATATAATATGAAATATATATCAAATATGTTCCACAGTCGACTCAATAGTATTAATATAGTGATTTTCTTCTCTTACTGCAGTAACACTGATAGTTCTTTGTGGTATTTATATAGTTTTCTGAGGGTCAGTCCAATAAAAGTCTGTCTGTGTGTAGAGAAACCAGCCGAGCCGGTTGTTCAGAATATTAATTACAGCGATGCTCACTGATCTCACTGTTTCCACCACGTTTACATATTCACATCTTTCTGTGTGTGTCAGCACTTCAACAAATAAATAAAACATAGGATGGAGAGGGTGAGGCGAGGGCACGCCGGGTTATTTCAGGGTACCGATACTGATACCGATCATTAGTAATCAAGGACCGATATTTGGAACCGATATCAATACATCTTAACTCCAGTTCATTTTTTATATGGAAGCCCAAAAAAGATTATGTAAGTCATTATAATGAGAAACTTAAATATTGATTTATCTCAAAAAAATTATTATTATTATTATCCTAAATATTGAATTATTATCTCAAATTATTGACTTATTATCCTAAAATAATAACTTATAATCTCAAAATATTGATTTATTATCTCATAATATTCACTTATTATCACAAAGTTGGAGAAGGTTTCTCATTATAATGACTTTTTAATGGGCTTCCATAGTTTTCTTTGTGTTGAAGTTGATGTTGAAACACTGTAAAACAATAAAAACCTCAGTTTACTCCTGTATTATTATTATTATTATTATTATTAAAGAACAGAGGGAATAAAGTAAAACCACAAACTGTCTCTTCGTTCTGCCGACACATCGAGAGAATCTGAATCCTGATGATTTATGTGAGTTTACAAACATCTCGTTGTGTCCTGAACGCTCCCCAGACGCTGAATGTTTCTCTGTGTTATGCAACAGAAACACTGCGAGTTATTAGCATGTGTGACCCGCGTCGGCTTCGACCTAAAACCACCTGCTGGAGCGGCAGATATAGCAGGGAGGATTGTGGGTAAAAGCCTGCAGCCGGAGCGCAGGGATGAAGAGACGCTGAGGAGTGAACACGAGGAAGATGATAGCTGAGAGGAGGAGGAGGAGGAGGAGAATAAAAACAGGCTTAATATGAAACAACTAGAAAAAAACAAAACAACAATAATAATCTATATAATAATCTAGATTAAATTAAATTTTTGGTGTAACTTTTAGCATTCTAACGCTTTCTAATTAGCACTTTAAGCTATAGGGTAGGTAGCACTGGAGAAACTAGCACGTAGGTAATTATAATTTTTAAGTTTCAGCAAAGAAAAAACTGTTAAAATTGCGATTTATTGTGCACAACGTAGATGATTTCTTTATTTATTTTTTATTTGATTCTTTATTTAAGTCTCTAGAATCATTGAGGTTTCTTTCAGTTACAATGACATGAAACAAATAATATAAATAAATATAAAATATAAATACAAACAAATAATATACCGAGCTAAGACAAATAAAATTAAAATTAAAATAAAACATAAAAAAATAATTCAAAGGAGGATACATATTCAGTGAAAACAACTGAACACTGAGATATTAATATAAAATGTAAAGGAGACCGAGAACGGATCCCTGTGGGACACCTTTGGTTTCTACAGAAGCTCAGTAAAGACAAAAGACACTAAAGTAACTTAAATTAAATATCAAACATTCGTGGCTCCCAGTCGATGAATCCTGTCAATAAATGTGTTGTTCCCTTCACTGTCAATAACTTTCCCATCAGCCTCAGCTGCACTTGTGTAGCACTAATTAGCATGCATGCTAACACGCTAAACTTAGGCGCGTGAACATGACGCCTCCTCACATTAGCATTTAGCTCCACTGGCTAAAAACAGCCTCACAGATCCTGCTAGTGTGACTCAGCACATCACATTAATATTAATCGACCATCTGATCAGCAGTTTTCATTAATATATTGATCAGAAATGTTCTTCATCTTCAGTTAGACGCTTATCTCGGTTGTGTTACTCGATGTCGAGGTGATAAACGGCGTCCTCGTGGCGCCGCGGGTCAAAACACACGGCAGCCTGATAACGAGGTGACGAAGAGGAGCTGTAAAACTATTTTTTCTGAGCGCTGTGACGCTGGAACGAGGAGAGTTTGTGACTCAAAGAGCAGCAGAGTGAGAAATGTTGAGATATCAGTCGCTGTGCGTTGGTCACAGCTCGCTGCCCACATGTTTCAGCTGCTTTCAGAAACACAAAAACAACTTAATTTACATTTAATTAAAATAAATCTGCTCAGTGGATAATTTCTCCTTTTAGATCTGAAAACAAACAGGAGACAGTTTGACTTTAAACACTGGTTTCTTCACAACAGCCCCCATTTATTAATTAATTTATACATTAAAACTGTTTTCAATCTACTTACACATGTTAGAGGTTCCCAACCTTTTTACTTAAGGGACCTTTTATAACACATATTTTATATTTAATGTATAACAATAACAGCTGATAAACTCCCTGTGAACATCGATCAGAGGTGAGTTTAACATTTTTATACAATTCTTTATTTTCTTAATAATCAAAAACACTTAAAGTCTGTAAAGTAACTTCAGTCACATCTCAAAAGACTGAACTGTGGAGTTTTATCTCTTTTTTGCCGGTTTAGGTTCAGGATTTAAAGCTGTAACAGTATAAAAACATACAAACAGTAACATCGTTGGTTCTCTTGCATAGCCTTATAGACATATTCAGTGTTTTTGTTGCACATTGTTCTATCAGCTCTTTGGTTGTTTCCTGTAATTAGTAATCTGAACTTCAAAAATAGCAATTTCATTTAGTTTTTCTTCACAAAAATAAACTAAATGCTGAACGCCGGGCTCTAAAGCCGATCTGACCTAGTGGCCAAACGGTGTAATTACAGCAGAGACGTTGACCCAAAAACAGTTTACAATTAACTTTAACTGTAAAAGTGGCTTTAAAATATACAGGAGAACATTTTATAAGCATTAACACACTGAAGTCTATCAGAATTTGATCCATTCAGTCTGGTAACATTTAAGATTTAAGTTAGTTTGTTAAATGAGCCACTAAAACATTTACTTTCACAATAAGGTTTATTTTAACATTTTTAAGTGTATTGATGTATACAATATTGATGTTGTCTACATGCTGCTGCTGGTTCTCTGCGTTTTATGATTTAGTGGCCGTCACATTAATCTACACAGATAATTTAATTTATATATTGTGTACGACGTCACGCTGAGTTTCCCCGTCGATTGTTTTTATTTATATTTATATTATAACTGTGTGCCAGCTCTCCCTTTGGAAAGGAGATTTCAATCTTAAGGGACTTTCTGGTTAAATAAAGGTTAAATAACCACTAACGTCAGAGAGCTAATTACCTGCTCGAGTTTAATTTTCTCTGTTTATCTGTATTTCTTTCTGTCCCTGAATCAACAAATAACTAAACTGCACACAGATTTTATTATTAATCAAATATAGTTAGACTGAAAATGTGCAATGAATCTATATTAGAAGCTAATATGAGACTTTGAGACTCTGTTGTGTCAACATATCTCTCACCTTCACAACAGCAGAAACAAACAAATCAAGAAAAAAGATCTCATTAGATTTTAAACAGGTGTGGATTCAGTTTCTTCTGGTTTCAGTCGACACTAAAATAAGTTTAACTGCACTGGAAACAAACATCCTTCTCTCACACAAACAAAAAATCCCCTTCAGGTGTTTGGCGAGCGGCCAGAACTCACACACAGCGAGAACATTCAGTTCCTGTGTGGGACGTCTGCACAACAACAACAACAACAACAACATTCATCAGGCCTCTCTGAGACAAACACTGACTCCGTTTTATTGACTTTTATTAAATAACGTACATTTTTATTCCTCAAATAATAAAAAGTCATGAAATCAAACTCTTTACTTTTAAACAGTCGATGGTTCGTCGGCGCGGTGAGATGATGGATGGTTAAAGCTGCACTAGGCGCAATAAAGGGTCAATTCATATATTTAATCTGTGGATTATTCGGGACAGAGGGGTTTAATACGGGAATAAGCCCGAAGTTTTGTTCAGTTTCACAGTAAATCGGTGAGTCTGTTCGTCTGTCTTTGACAAAAGAATTTAAAGAAAAATCTAATTATGAAGTTAATTTAACTCGTTGAAACTGATCTCGTCGAGAATTTGAAGAAAAACTTAATTTTGTTAGATAAAAAGTAGCTTTAATAATTTTAAGTGACTTAATTTTGTAACTTTTATTTGTTTTGTGAAAATAAAAAGTATTTAATCAGGAATGTTTCTGTAACTTAAAAGGTACTTAAAATGTATGTAATCTGCTTCAACAATTCTTCTTTTTAGTTAAAATAATCGTATTAGAGCGTAACTCACTGTATCCATGGCAACGTTATACTTCCTGTTTCTGAAGATGAGAGCGGACGACCACACCCCCTCGTGTGTGTGTGTGTTAAACTCTTCATCACAGGTTCGTTAATGAAGTTACTGAGTAAATGATGTGAGCAGATTGTTTCTGTAGACTGAAGAGAATCAGAAAAAAGTCTTAAAGATTGTGTAAGTAAAGTTTTTACTGTGAAGAAATACGAACCTTCCTTAAAACCGCCGTTTTTTGAATGGAGTTTGGTTAGAGAGGGTGGAGCAGAGGGGGTTTTAACCTTAATAATTCACACATGAAACAATGAACCTAGCTAACAAAGCGATACAATATTATTTTATGCTTTTAAATTGGTAAATTACCCCCCAAAAGTGACAAATTGTTTTGTTTTAAACCTCAAATATTCAATTTAAAGTGATATAACAGAAAATTTAACGACAATCGTCACATTTAAGAAGCTTTAAACTGTTTTTATTTGACTGTTCCAAACCTCGTTACAGCGACCCTTTAACGCTGATGTCTCGCTCTCTTTATAAACGTACGGTTTGTGGTCGTAAAACGCTGCGAACGCCACATTATTACATTTAACTCTGGCTTAGTGCAGCTTTATATTACATTTAAATCATTTTAGTTGAAAGAAAAAAGGGACATAAATAACAACTGAATGTGCAAACATCAACTGTTCATGCAGCCGGGAAATAAATTATGTGTTTATGTGACTGAAACACTACGAGAAATACAAAAGTAGTAAAAAGAAGAGTTCTTATATAAAGTTTATATTCTATACAATGGATCTATAAAGCTATAATAACTATGTTTAAATAATAAAACTGTATTTGTGACGTCCAGGTGGAGCTTTAATAAGAGGAATAAATAAACACACACACTCACACTCACACAGACAGACACACACACACACACACACTCACACACACATAAAAACAGAACAAAGACTTATAAAAGTTGTCGAGTGGCCCCTGGTTGATCGGTCTTTAATGACGAGATCTCAGCAGAAGGTTTTTCGCCTCCCGCTCGAGGAAACGCGAGCGTCAAGTGTTCGTTATCGCTCGTTAGCGTTCGTTAACGTAATAAAACTGCAGCGGTGGAATCAGGCCGTTCATGTCGCACCCTGAGGAGATCTGAGGATCGCTCTGGAAACACAAACAGAGACGTTAAAACAGGAAGAAAATATCGTTTCTGAACATAAAATGATTCTATTGTGGTTATAAATTAGTAGAGCTGCAACAATCAATAGTTATTAATGTCGATCAATCACCAACAAGTAACCTTTAATGGGTTTATACATTAATGTCTGCTATTAACTATTAACTCTTACTTTTAGTAACTATTAACTATCAACTGTTACTTTTAGTAACTATTAACTATTAACTGTTACTTTTAGTTAACTATTAACTATTAACTTACTTTTAGTTACTATTAACTCTTACTTTTAGTAACTATTAAGTATTAACTGTTACTTTTAGTTAACTATTAACTATTAGCTGTTACTTTTAGTTAACTATTAACTGTTAACTGTTACTTTTAGTTAACTATTAACTGTTACTTTTAGTTAACTATATGCTGTTTCTAATTCTCTGCTCACTGTCTCGCTCTCTCATCAAATAATTTGAAAAATTACTAAAAAGATGAATAGATTTTTAAAATAGTTTCAGGTTAATTTTCTCCTGATTGATCGATTGATTGATTGACTGTTTCAGCTCTACAAACGAGCTATTCCACTTAAAGTTGTTTAAATGATCAATATTTCTCACCTCCAGTGCTTCCCAAACGTATTTCACGTCATCTCTTGTGTTTTCTGTTTCCACCTGTGAACGGTCTGTTCTGTCGGAAACAAACAAACAAACAAACAACAACAACAACATCAGCTCAACACAAATAAAGAAAGATTATCAGATAATGCAGCAAAGAGAAGATCTGCTTAATATCACAACACAACCTGTGAACTAAATATGTATAAAATATAACAACATATTTGGTCAAAATTGTTAAAAAATGCACATTTAAAAGTTTAAATTTGAGCAAATATGTTGCCATTGTGCCTTTGTAGAGCAGTATATAGTATTATGGTTTAATATTATCCATTATCCAGCAACTAGTTTTACTTTGTATCCATTACCTTTTACTTTTAATCAATAATCTAACTATTAGCTGTTTATCATTACTTGTATCTAACTATTTAAACTTTTTATCCATTAATATTAACCAATAATCCATTTATATGAAATATAACATCGTGTTTGTTCATAATTTGCACATATAAAAGCAGATATGTAGTCATTGTGCCTTTATAGGTCAGTTTAGTTTTAAAATTGAATCAAAATCATGAAAAACAGCCTCAAATCAAACAAACAGGAGTGTCCACATACTTTACACACTAAAACCAGCATTTACCACGTTATCATTTACAGATATAAACATTAACTGTGCTGCTGCTTCCTCTACAAGCTGCACACACACTAACACCGGAGTACAGCAGCGCCCCCCGGAGGCCGCGCAGCTCCTCACACTTCCTCTCTGTTCACCTTGTGCTCTGGACATCTGATGGAGAAGTTGTCTTCGTTTAAGAAACAGCCTGAAAAAAACAAAAAAAAGAAATCGTTAAAACATTCGTCATTTCAGGCTGAGTGAGAACGACAACCTTCCCACACGAGTGAGTCAACATCTCGACTCATCCGTCACCTTCACAGGCGGGAAAATATGTATTTTAGTTGATTTCTGACACGTATTTAATTGTGTACCTGACTGAATGGCACATCTGTAGTGATAGTTCCTGGGACAGCCCTTCTGGAAACATCCCATTATTGCACCGGTTTGTTGGCACGCTGAACATTTCTGAAAGCAGACGCACAAAGTGAGAAAGAAGCAGAGTTTTATCTCTTTACGTGAAGCAGAATCATGTCAAAATAACTTAAATAACTCTATTTTTTACATCTATTTCAATAAATTACTCTTGTTTCAGTCAGTTACTGGACTTTTATTGTTATTTTGTTGTTTTTTTTTTGTCTATTTTGTGTAAATATTTTAATTTTAAACGTTTGAAAGCTGAATGTAACAGGAGGCTTCAGACGTTTAAAGTGCTTTTAATTTGAAATTCTCACCAACAATAGTGTTTCGGGTTGTAACACAAGGAGGGAATTTCAAGCTAAATAAAACTAACTTTTAAAAAATATCCACTTTAGAGCTCATTAATAATTTAGTCGATCGCCAGAAAAACAATTTTTATCAGCAATTAATTATCTAAATAGTGAAAATGACTCCACATTCTGTAGTTTCAGCTTCTTGTAACTGAGGATTTGCTGCTTTTCATTGTCAGATATGAATAAACTCGACTGTATATATAAACTATTGTTGTAATCTGAGTAATTTGATGTTTTGGACAAAAACCAACATGTGAACGACGTCGTCTTGGACTTTTATTTTGACTTTTTTGGGGCATTTTTCAGAATTATTTAACATTTTTAAGGAAAGAATTTTAGAAAACGTGACAGAATAATCCTTAAAGATTATATACATATGAATATATCAGCAAACAGCTGTTCTCTGTGTAAAGCTACAGAGTCACATGGTGTCTCTCTCCCTCTGCCTGTGTTGTATCGCAGCCGCCGTCCCTGTGTTTGTTTCCCAGCCGGTTCCCTTTTTGCTCCGACTGAAAACGTGCTGTTTTTACATCAATCCTACGTCGGTGAAAAATTCAAGGAATTTATTTTCCACCCAAACCCAAAGAGTTGGTGGGATTTTGTTTGGAAACACTAACAGAGACGCTTTTAATGAGTTTCATTCTGTTTCTGTCCACTTTAATGAAGTTTTAATGTCAGGACGGCGTGGAGCTAAAATGAGTGTTTGTGTCTCTGGAGTCTGAGAGAGTGACTGATATTTCTGCTCCTGGTTGAACTGAAGGTCTCTCTCTGTAGGGATCCTCTTCCATAACGCTGTCAGACACGGAGAAGAACTACCCGAGTGTCACTCACAGTTTCCTGTGCGACCCGCGCCGCCTCCTCCAACCCGTACAGCTTCCCCCGGACCAGGAAGACGCCGGCGGACCAGATACCGCAGTCCTCGTGGATCCAGCACTCGTCCAGACGAAGAGGCACCTTCGGGGGAGAACCGCCGTCCTCGGAGGAACTGACGGGTAAATGTTCTTCCTCTTTCTGCTCAGTGCCGCCGTTCTGGTTCTGGTAGTCCACGTGCGGGCTGGTGGGGCGGTACGGGCCGTGAAGGTCCCCGAGCCCCGTGGCGTTTGCCGTCTGGCCGCACAGGCAGCACAACAGCGAGTCCTGACGCTGGCTGTCCGAGCTGAAGCGACCGAGCTGGAAGCAGGAGGAGTTGGGAACGAACCCCGACAGAGACCGGGTCTGCTGTGCTCCTCCTCCTCCTCGGCTGCTCCTCACCGCCGCCTCCTCCTCCTGGTAGTTGACGACGGTGCACATCTTCTTCTCCACGTGAACAAACGGGCAGAAACTTCCACATTTCTTGTCCTTCTTCTCCTCTTTAACGTTTGCATATTTAAGTTTGATCTCCGGCTCTCGGGGAGGAAACTGAGCGGACGCTCCGCTCCGCGAGCGCCGCTTCTTCTTCCGCCTCACCACAGTTTTTGCGTTTGCCGACTTGTCCCTTCGCTCCGGCGCGACGCCCTTCTGTTCGGTTCGTCTTAACTTTTTAGCTTTCCGAACGGCGAGGGGCTTCTTCCGTTTACGGTTGACGCTCTTCGCTCGGGGCACCGTGCGGCGAGGCTGCGGCTCTTTCTCCGGCGCCTTCTTGTCCACGCCGGACTCCTCTGAGTGGCTGCTCGCTCTCGGCGCCGCCGGTGTCTGCGGCACCGACTCGTCTGAGCTGGACAGCCTCGCCGCGTACTCCATCATGTCGTCGGAGTCGCAGCATTCGTTGTAGATTCCCACCACGTCGTTCTTGGCTCGCCGCCTCAGGCTGTGCCGCGACGGGCTGCAGGTGAACTGAGGCGTTTCCGAGACGGGTTTCCGGATTCTGGTGCTGCGCCGAACCTCTCGGGTCGGTTTCTCGTCCTCGCTCTGAGGCGGAGTTTCTCTCGCCAGACCTTTCTTACAAGGAAAGTTCTTCTTCTCGTTCGTGACTGAAACCTCGATGACGTCGCTGTCGTCGCTCGAAATGTCCACCGGAGACTCGGCGGGGTTTCCGTAGACCGCGCTCAGGTCGGACAGCAGGACCACGGGCCTGGTGTGGTGCACGGGAATGTCCACGGAGCTGTCGGAGGAGTCCTCGGAGTACGAGCTGTCGGGACTGGGCGAGCTCAGAGGTTGAGGTAGGTGATAGCAACCCCTCGCCTCGTCCAGCGACGACACGGCCGGCGACAGCGGCTCCACGATGTGCCGCACGCCGTCCTGGATGAACGGGCTGCACAAGAGCGGCTCCTTCGCCGAGGAAACCAGGAAGATCACGTCCGAGCCGCTGTCGCTCTCCTCCCCGCCGCTGCTCTCGGGAACCGGGCCGCCGCTCTGGTTGGGCCCGTAGAACCCCGGGTGCCACAGGCTGCCGTGCACGCCGTCGCGGTACAGACCCGGCGCTAGACTCGAGTTCATGTAGTTGCCCAGCGCCTCCGGGCCCTGCTCCAGGTCTCGGCAGTGGACGGGAGCGACCGGCTCCGGGTGCCGCTGCGCCGACAGAGAGCCGAAGGAGGACGAGGCTCTGGTTCTGAACGGCGAGCTGATCTCCGGGCTGCAGCTCGCCGGCCGTCTGTGGTACCACTCGGGCTTCTTCGCCAGGTCCATGGCTTCAGTGTGGCCGCGGGTCAGAGGGGGGACGGAGAAACCCTTCGACAGGTCCACGGCCACGAGAGACGGATCCTGAGAGGAAACTTCCATCACTGCAACGGACACACAGAAAGACACGACTGAGATCCTAAAGGTCAAAGTTCATCTGCAACAGACGTCTTCTGAGGTCACAGAGAGTTAGGACAAAGAAAAGCTCGCTGAAGGAGCCGAAACCAGAACTGTTTTTCTGTTTTTACTGTTTTTGTTTGAAAAATCGATAAATCAATAATCAAAATAGTTATTTTTATTTTGTCGTTTTTTAATATTTGTTCATATTTTTCTGTTAATGAATCAGTGAGTCTCAGACGGGGGGGGGGCGAAGTTTAACGTTAATGAACTACAACTGATCTAAAAACTAAAACTAGGTGTTTAAAGTAAAAACGAGGAGCTTGTTTATGTTTTTTTGTGATATTTTATTATAAAGTTTATTCTGCACAAACACCTGTTGATTTATATACTAACCTGTAAGAACTGTGGGACCAAACATAAACGCTGAAACACACAACTAATACACACCGATCAATAATGAAAACAACTGTTAGTGAGACGCTGAGTGTTACAAACCTCTCCTGAGCATTGTTCTGTTTATTTTATATTCTATAAAATGTATTTATAATATATAATATAAATGTATTTATAAATAAATAAAGACAAAACTGAAGATGTAAATGTGTTTTATGGCTTTTGATTGTTCTTAGTGGGTTTTAATTCTTTAATCTTTTAATTAAATTACTTCTGTCTTTACATTTATTTGTTATTGTCTTATATTTATATTTATATATTATATTTATATATTTTTATTGTCTTTTATTGGTGTTGTGCACTTTTCTGTCAGAGGCACTTCGGTCACCTCTGCTTGTTTTAAATGTGTGATTTAAATAATAATTTGTATTATTATTGTTGTATTTATGCTACAGCAAACTGTACAGATATTTTACTTTATTTAAATTATTATTATTATGTGATAGTGATAATAACAAACAATAAAATTCAAATAAAATAATAATTATATGTATTTTATAAAAACAAACTAATAATAACAATAATTATAACATTAAAAACAATTATTAATAATTTTAATGAACGCGCAGGTTATATTTATATTCTGCTTATTTAAACAACTTTAATCATTTTAATAATAATAATTTTAGTGTATTTTAATGCGATATAACAGTTTACGAAAAAATAAACAAAAACAAATATTAAACCGGATTTAATTGTGAGAAATATAATAACAACAATACAAATATAATAATATATAACATATAAATATAATTAATAACCAGTTAACCTGAGCTCTCTACTACCAGATGTTTACAGATGTTTACAGGTAGGCCCGTGCACTGCTGTTAAAGGTGTCACCTGTAAATAAACAACAACAACAACAACAGCCAACCACGGTTCTCTCCAGCGGTGCTCTCACCCTCCGGTGGCCGGAGATCGGCGCCGACAGCCCGGACTCAGAGGCTGAGACCGCCCGCTGGCTCTGCTGGCTCACGGAGCTCGAAGCTAACGTTAGCCCCGCGGAGACGTTGATCCCAGAACGAGGCTCGACGAGTCAAACGGCTGATTCACATTTTAATGAGCGAGCTGGCGGCAGGTGACCGGCAGGTGACCGACAGGTGACCGGCAGGTAACCGGCAGGTGACCGACCTCCTCCTCCTCCTCCGCCTCCGCGCTGCTGTTGTCTTTTAAAGTTCTCATCATGGACTCCTTCTTCCTGCTCAGTCAAGCCGCCGAGGAAACACCCGGATGACGCCGGAAGAGAGAGAGCCCCGCGCCTTCAAAGTAAAAGCTCCACGTTTTGTGTGGTTGGAAAATAAAAGTTGGTTCGTGTTTTCTGTTTGTTGGTTTTCTGTTATAAAGGCAGAAAATGTAAAATAATAAATGTAATGGACTCCCCAGATTGAAATCATATAGAGGGGAAAATAGTTAAAAATAAATAAATAAAATAACTAAGTATATATACTATAAATAAGTGGAAGGAAGAGAATCGCACAGAGTTGCATTTAAATATGCAAAAACTTTTCAATTAAAATAAGATTATTATTATATTATTATTATATAAATACCAGCAGGATGCCAAAATAAATAATATTTAAAAAAAAGCACAAGTAAGGAAAGACCAAAATAAAACAAAGTTTTCTTTTATAACAATAAAGTTTTGTTGCATTTATGAATAACAACTGGAAAAGAGAAATGCCTTAACACTTTTTGAACTACTTATACTGCTTTATATCTTAATTAAACCCCCTTTTTTATTTTCAAGTTAACTTTGAATTCTAGTCTAATGTATGTTTAATGTAAGTAATGTATGTTTTGTATTTTGTATGCTACTGGATACTTGAATTTCCCTCGGGATAAATAAAGTATCTATCTTTAAGTTAATTAAATTTAACTTATATTTTATATTTTCTGTTTTGTTTTGAATATTACTTTGTTTTAGTCTCTTTTCTGTTGATATAAGTTGCTCAGATTCATTGTTAGGCTCAGTAAATACTTACTGTGCTGCAGTTACTTTAAAAATTTAATCAAATAAAATCACTAATTACCTGGTAAAAACAAATAGTCAATAACTTAATTCAAATATCACAATAAAGCAAATAAAAACAGCGTTAATAGAGTTAATTTTGATGAACCTTAAATACAATAAACTTTTATCTTAACCTTAAATAACTGATCAGTTTATTTGTTTATATTCTGTATCAATAATGTGACTTTAAGATAATCAATAAATGTAGTGGAGTAAAAGTAAAGTACTTTAATACACTTAAATACAGTACTTGAATTAATGTGTTATTTTCTTTGTTTGTCGTATAAAAGCTCGTTAATCTATTTCAGTAAGTTTTAATAATTTCACACTAAAGTTTATTACTTATTTTATGTTAATATTATTTTATTAAATATAATTTTTTACTATATTCTGTTCAACTAAAACTCTCAAACATCTCAGCTGTGCAACAATAACAACTCTACAAAGTCACCCCATGCTAGGCTTTTATTTTGAAGTATCCACCCGGAACCTGACTGTGTGTATCCGGATAACTTTACGTCTTCATCATCTTCTTCTTCCTCCACAAACAGTGATGAAGGTCTGAAACAGCCTGAATATTTCTACAATAAAAACACACCGAGACCGTTTTAATCTGCCAATTTCATTTAATTAATAATAATTATATTAATACAAATATATAAATCAGAGTCCACTGACAGAAATGTTTTAAGATTTTAATTTAAAAAGATTTAATTGATGTAAAAAAAAACGACAGTTTAACGACACGTACAGCAGAGGATGAGGACAACAAACAAACAAACAAACAAACAAACACAAATATGATAAAACATGTAATCAGTCTTACAATAACAAAATGTCTGTACAGATAAAAAATATATAAAATAACATAAACACTTATTTCTTAACGACGATGGTAAAAACTTAAAAACAGTTTCTGGATTTATTAAATAAAACTTTAAAGGTTACAGGAGGGAATGATTTGTCTTGTATTAAATACTTTTATTCTGAAATGTGGAGCTATCAGGGTGCATTGTGGTCCAGAGCGCGGCGGGCCAGCCTCAGGTTCTCCCTCAGCTCGTCCAGCTCTCGCTCGCTGTCCGCCCTCGCCGCGCTCAGCTCGCCGTACGCGTCCTTGTACGTCTTCACGGCGTTCCTCTTGTCCTGTAACGGAGACGATCGGGTCGTTATTTCCTAATAATCGACCTCATTGACGACTGTAAACAACAACAACAACAACAACAACAACTTCATCGTCGTCTAACTGTGTTTACTGATTCTGGAGGCTGAATGAATGTTTATGTTTGTTTGTTTTTGTAATATTTGGTTTAATTGTTGGCTGTTGTTTTTGTTTGTTTTGTTGTTGTGATAAAAAAGGAAAAACGTTTCGTAAAAGTGAGAAAAGATTATTTAAAACAGGTTTTTAATAGATTCTTACTATCAATACGTCTCAGTTTTATTCTTTATGCTCGTGTGTAAATAATAATAATAATAATAATAATAATAATAACAGATTGTTTACGACCTTTCTGGCGTTACTGTGCTGACAAATTTTGAGCTTTTTTTTAATGTAAATAAAAACAAAAATGTTTATAAAATAATTATTTTTATATATTTCTACATTAACAAACGTTAATAAAACATTTTATTGTTTATTGTTTGTTGCAAAAAATAGAAGAAAAGGAGACAATTAAATAACAAACTGGCTTCCAGAAAGCTCAGGTTGGTTATTATTATTGTTGTTTATTATTATTGTTTATTATTTATTGTCTGTGTGACTCTCACCCGTTGTGCCGACTGCAGCTCGTCCTTCAGAGACGCGACCTCCTGTTTCAGACTCTGGACCTCGGACTCTTTCACTCGCAGGTTGATCTGAAATAAAAACTCTGAATCAAACATCAGCTACGGACAGTGGACAGCAGGGGGCGCCGCACGCTGCTCAAACCCTGTTTTATTCCCTAATAGTGAAACAAATCTTCTTTTTTTATTTATTTTCTGTGACTTTAACCTTCAATAATTATACAACAACTGTTTGTTTGGAGCTTCTGATCGAGCCGATCACATTGTTATTGTACAAATATTGATTATAACCGCTTTAAGTAAAAGTACTACATTAAGAAAACGTCTCTGTGGCTGATATTTTATTATATACGACAGATTTTTACTGATTTAACTGCAGTTTAGTTTCATTTATCATTATATTTTATCATTTTATAAATGTTCTTATGTTTATGTAAAGCTGTGAAATAAATGTGGTCAAAGTAAAAAGTGGAATTAAATAAAAAGGAACCTTATTTTACTTTAAATCTTTAGTTAATTACAGGACTTAAATACTATACATATAGTTAGTCAGTGGTTCCCAACCTGAGGTCGGGACCCCCACTAGGGGTCGCTAGAGTTTCACAGGGGGTCGCAAGGTCTTCTTGATGTTAAGGTGTTAGAAAACTTTTAAAATACACACAGCAGATCTATATCTTAGTATCTGGTAAGTGTGAGGGAGAGAAAACATTGATTGTTATAAATTAATAAAAATATATAAAACGGAGGAAGAAATGTATAAAATAAATAAACAGGAAATAATCTGCTCAAAATGAATCCAAATCTCTCGTTTTACACAAACTTCCTGCAGTTACTGAGTTCACTGTTCAGTTTTTAATATAATATGATTATTTAATAATGTTTAATGTTTAATAATCAAAGTTTCTGGTTGGTTCTTCCACTCACCTCCATCTCGTACGCGTCCGCTCTCGGACCGAGCGGCGGTTCGTCCTGACGGACCAGAGAACAAAGTCTGGAGATCTCAGCCGCCAGGTGACCGTTCAGCTCCTGCACAACAACAACAACAACAACAACAACAACACAGTTATTGATTTATCTGTTATTGATTTGGTCCTGATGGAGATTAAATCAAAGAGCGTGTATCCGACCTGGTTTCTGGTCCTCAGGTCTTGGTTTTCCTGCTGGCACTGACACAAGGCCTTCCTCTCAGCATCCAGAGCCTGGACCAGATGTTCGTTCTCCAGACACTTCAGAGAGAACTGCTGGGACAACGCCTGGAGCTCCCGTTGGTACGAGGCCAGCTCCTCGCTGCACGAACATCCAGCACAGACACGGAGATCTCGTCAGAACGCCAGAAATACAACAAATAAAGCGCCGTAAGTCGCCGCAGACGTACCTGTGCTGTCTGTAAACGTCCTCCAGGTGAGCGTCTCCCGTCTCTGCCCGACTCCTCCTCTGCACCTCCCTCTCCAGCTCCAGCCGGTGAGCGTTCCCGATGGCCGCGATCGCTGAGAGGAGGAATAAAGTGATTCTGGATATCAGAGACAGTTTGAACGTTTTCCTGAAGTTACAAATATGGAAATAAATATACAGCAACTAATAAAACTATTACTGCTCCTAGAGAGAGATTAATAATCTTCCTGTGCAATAAAACTCTGTTAAAGACGTTTTACGAGATCAGAACATCTGCTGTCGTCTCTCCTCACCGGTCGCCGTGGCAGCGCTCTCCTCCTCCAGCAGTCGGTCTCTCTCCACCAGGAGGCGCTCCACTTCCTGCTGGTGTCGACGCTGCAGCTCCTCCACGACCTTCAGATGACACTCCTCCACGGAGGCGAAGCCGCGCTCGCACGTGACCTGTAGGAGCGACAGACGACCACAGATTAACCTTCGAGTACAGAAGCTGAGCGTTCATGTTCATGATACTCAGACGCTCCGCCTACCTTCAGCCTCTCCATCTCCTCCTCGTGTTGCGTCTGAACAAAACTCATCTTCCCGTCAAACTCGTCTTTCATCGTCTCCTCCACGACGGACAGCTGCTCCTCCAGCTCCTTCACTCTCCTCCTCAGCACGAAATCGGGCTCCGCCTCGAACGCCGCCGCCGTTTCCTCGCGGGACGCGTCACTCGTCTCTCTCGTGTCTTCGTCCGCCGTCTCCGACTCACCTTCGACACGCGACGGTGGGATTTCCATACACTCCACCGTCTCTTCTCCCCCAGTTTCCTTCGCCACCTGTACCTCGATATCTGCGTCCGTCTGGCAGCACGCGTCCATCTTCCCGCCCGCTGACGGCGCCCGCTGTCCCTCCAGGTGCGACAGTCTCGCTCTCAGCTCCCTGTTTTCCTCCATCAGGTCCACGCAGTCGCTGCAGATGAGAGACGCAGTGAGAAGTTTCTGTCTGGTTTCCTCGAGCTCCCTTTCGTGTTTCGAGCGCAGGCGGCTTAAGTGGCAGCAGTAGAACGCCTCGGTGGCTGCGGAGTGGATGAAACCGGACCAGGGGTGCTCCGAAAAGTGGAAGTCGGAGAGGCGGTCGGCCATCAGCTGGAGCTGGTCCTGAGCAGAGGGGCTGACGGAGGAGGCGAGGCGACTCAGCAAAGAGATTTTCATCTGCGTTAAGCCTCTGAAACGTTTGATCTCACACAGCTCGTCGTTAAAGTCCGACATCCTGCTCTCATCCTGCTTTTTGGCTTCCTCACTTGCAATATTCCAAATAATATCCAGACCTTCCCTCCCTTCATCCGCCCCGGACAGAAGAGCTAGAAGCAGCATTTGTTTCTCCACTATCATTCGTTCGGTCACCTCGCTCAGAAGCTCTTCCACGGGTTTCTCCTCGTGCAGCTGGGATGGATTCGACTCCAGTTTGTTGAGCAGCAAACTCCAGAACTCCTCCTCCCACTTCAGCTGACTCGCCACCGCAGGATTCTCCTCCTCTTCTCCTCTCACACCAACGTCCAACCTGTCGATCACCTCCAGTAGTTTCCCCAAAGCGTTCAACCTCATCACCATCCCCTCGATCACCTTCTGGATCCTCTCTTCACCTGAAACGCACCCGTTTCTGTCTCCGTCCTTCGGTCTCTCCTTCTCCAGCTCCTCGTTCAGCCTCCTGATGTCGGCCTCCGCCTCGGCAGCTGCCCGACGGTGAAGCTCGTCCGCCTCCTTCAGCTGCGCGTTCTGCGTCTGGAGCGCCGCGCAGGTGAGCTCCGATTGGTCGAGCTGCCTCTCGAGCTCCGTCAGCTTCGCCTCGGTAGCCTCCAAACAGCGGAGCAGGTTCTCCGCGCTCTCGCTCTCCTCCTGCGCGCTCTCCTCCGGGACGTTCAGCTGCAGCAGCGCCTCCGTCTCCCTCAGGTTCTCCTCCAGGGAGGCGATCAAGCTCTGGGCCTCCAGGAGCTGCTGGTTCCTCAAGCTCAGCTCCATCTCCAGATCGCCGGCCCCCGTCTGTCCCAGCTGCTCCACCTCGGGGAGGTGAAGGGGTTCGGTGTACCTGCTGCTGCTGAGCTCGGCTTTCAGACGCTCGATCTCGCGGTCCGCCTCTGTCAGCTGGTTCAGCATCTCCTGGTTGCGCTGGTTGAGAGCCTCGTTCTGGCTGGTGAGCAGCTCCAGCCTCCTCACCGTCGCCTGGTGCTCCACACAGCAGCTCAGAGAGTCTCCTTCCTCTAGAATCAGTGAACTATACTCGCTGGTATTTATTTGTGTTTCTGAGCCGGGAACCTGCTGACGATCTTCTCCGTCCGGCTGGTTCTCGACGTCCGGATGTCGTTCTGCGGTCTCTCCGTCGCTCTGGGGGAAAACGTCTTGGCTGTCGGATGCAGGGGACAGTAAAGGTGTCAAATCCCCCAGTTCTTGGAGATTTCCCTCCGTGTCGTGCAGCCAGATTCTGGGTGTCTGAGGAGCTAAAGGAGGCGGTTCGAAGCTGAGCTGCTGCTGCATGTCCTGTCTGATGATGTTCTGCTGTTGTAAGAGCTCTCTGGTTTCTTCGTACACGTCTTTCAGGGTCTGCGAGTGGCTGTTTAACGGCTGTTCGCTTGTGTCTTCTTCAGAAGGAAGAGGAGGGTCCAGCTTTAGGAAACAAAACAGAGTTCAGAAAAGATTAGCGGCCGAATGTTAAAGCACACAGACTGAAATAATAAAATGTATCAGACCTTATGCTGATGATATCCCGCTGTACTCAGCTGAGCCTCCAGCTCCAGTCTGCGACTCTCCGACTCGGCCAGCTGAACCTTCAGATCCTCAAGCTGCAAAACACAACAAGTTGTATAACTCATCTGGAGACACTGCGCCCTCAGCAAATGTCACTTCATCACTTTATTTAGTTGTACTGCACCTTAGTTAATTTATGCTGCTAA